CAAAAAACTTCAACCAAAAGCAACTTGAGGAGGAAGAGTTTACTTGCCTTCTATTTCCAGGTCAGTGGGTCACAGAAGGAAGTTTCAGCGTGAGCTCAAGCAAGACCTGAAGCAGAGATTACTAAGGGATGCCATGTGCTGGATTAACCATGGCAGAAATTACTGAGGAACGATGCGTTTTGGCTCAACCATGGCTCATACCAAGCTGGCTTCCTTATACACACAGGACCTTGGGTGGGAATGGTGTTGCTTAGTAGGCTGGGCCCTCTATCAGCACAGGACAGCCTCCCATTGACACGCCCACAGGCCAATACAATTCTTCAATCAAGTTGTTCCTTTCAGATGACTCTACGCTGTGGCAGTTAACAGTTACAGCTGACTATGAACTTTTACCCCATTTCTTTTGTTTGTTTGTTTTTCTTTTGTTTTGAATGTTTGTCCTAACTTAGGCATGTTTTTTCTACTTTATTATTTTTTTATTTGAATTAGAAACAAGATTGTTTTACATGTCAATCCCAGTTCCTACTCCCTCCCCTCCTCCCCGACCACCACTCCCCCCCTAAAACCCTACCTATCTCTCTTCCTTTCGGTTCCCCAGGGAGGGTGAGGCCTTCCATAGGGGGTCATCAGAGTCTATCATATCCTTTGGGATAGGGTTTAGGCCCACCCCCGGGTGTCTTGGCCCAGGGAGTATCCCTTTATGTGGATTGTGCTCCCAAAGTCCACACCTATGCTAGGGATAAGTACTGAATTACTATAGGAGGTCCCGTAGATTTCCAAAGTCTCCTCACTGAAACCCATGTTCCTGATGTCTGGATCAGTCCCATGCTGGTATCCCAGCTATCAGTCTGGGGACCAAGAGCTCCTGGTTGTTCAGGTCAGCTGTTTCTGTGGGTTTCACCAGCCTGGTCTGGACTCCTTTGCCCATCACTCGTTCTTCTCTGCAACTGGATTCCAGTTCAGTCCAGTGATTAGTTGTGGTTGTCTGCTTCTATTTCCACCGTTTCTTTATTTATTATGTATACAGTGTTCTGTCTGCATGTATCCCTACAGGCCAGAAGAGGGCACCAGATCTCATTACGGATGGTTGTGAGCCACCATGTGGTGGCTGGGAATTGAGCCCAGGTCCTCTGGAAGAGCTGCCAGTGCTCTTAACTGCTGAGCCATCTCTCCAGCCCACTTTGACCCCTTTTCAACTTGATACACAAATACATCATTTTAAACTATAACCTTTCAATTTCTTGTCCCCAAAGTCTCATGCTAATATTATAATACAAAGCATAGGCCAGTTCTCAGTCTTTTAAAAATTTAAACACTAGACAGGCTTTGGTGGCGCACACCTTTAATCCCAGCACTCGGAAGGCAGAGGCAGGCAGATCTCTGTGAGTTCAGGACAGCCTGGTCTACAGAGTTAGAGTGAGAAGAAGCATGAGAGCCAGAGCTACAGAGAAACGGGAGAGAGGAGAAGAGGAGGGAAGGGGGGAGAGGGGGGGAGAAGGGAGAGAGAGAGAGAGAGAGAAAGAGGAGAGGATATCATACAAATGGCCCTGATAATCTTCCCTCTGAAACTTCGAAAGCCAGATCACCACTGTCTGCATTTTGCTCAGTAATAACTTCTAAGCTCTCATACAAATAGCCCATTCAGTTCCCATGAACAAATCTCACACACTGGGAAGGGATCCAGACATGAGAATACATTGTTGGCGTCCACGGACATGAAATCCTGTCTGGGATATATATATATATATATATATATATATCTCACAAGGTAACTCAGTGGTTACCTAGAGTGAGTTGCAAATCTTAAGCACTGGATCCTGCTTACAGCACCCTGCCCCCCACTCTTTCTTGTGCCTCTCTTTGAATGACAATACAGCTACGCATTCTCCTTAAATGTGTCTGTTCCCATTAAGCTTATATTACTGTAATAATGACGATGAACATGATAAGAACAACAGCAACATCCACTGACATGTTCCTACATGGCAAGCATCTCCATTGCACTCATGGAACCCTGAAAACACAATGAGATGGAACTATTACCAAACACACCACCTTACAAATGGAGACACTGGGTCTTAGAGAGGTTGATTAACTTGTCCAGGGTCTGACAACTGGAGCAACACTGTTAATTCTAAAAATCAAAACTCTTACCCATTATGCAAGACTTACAATGGTACAAGCTATCTGTCGGTGGACACAGAAAAGAGGCCCAGGACTGGGGATATACAGGAGTTGTCTAGCATGAAAGGGGCTCTGGGTTCAACACCCAGCACTGCAGAAATACGATGGGTAGTAACCCTTGGGAGGTGGACACAGAAAAATCAGGAGTTCGATGTCATTACACATTGAGTTCAAGGCCAAGCGGGGCTATATGAAGACTGCCTCAAAAATTAATGAAATTACTAAGTCCAACATGAGCATGAGGTGTAGGCTTGGGTGTGGGGCTCTTGGTTCAATCCCCAATGCCACATAATTAAATAATAAAAGTGGCCCAAATGTCCAGAAAGCCTTTGGCTTGTGGTCCTTCCCAGCACTCAGGCTCCACCTGTCCCTACTTGATTCTCTCGGCTGTCATACTAAGTAAGTCCAAGCAGAAGTCCCCTAAACTCCTCCTGTCATGCCCTGCATTTATTTCACTTCCCAATTAGGATCCCGGCTTCTGAAGTGGTGTTCCTTAGTTCCACCTTCCACAATGACTTTGCTAACACATCATTCGTCCTTCCCTCATTCCCTCCCAGCCTCATGCCCAGAACTGCAGAATCAGACTGTCACCTACAAAAAGGAAGCAAATGCAATGCACAGAAGGCCGGGCCTCTCCTCCACAGCTAAGATGACGAACACTAAAACCAGCAACAATGCCTGAAAGGAACACTGTGACATCACTAAAACTGAGCATGTTACCTCGGGTACTCTCTTAAGTCCAGTGTCTGGGAGGCAGAGGCAGGAGGATTCCAGTGAGTTAGAGGCTAGCCTGGTCTACACAGAGAGTTCCAGGTGGCCAGACCCTATCTCAAAAACAAATCTACACACAGAGTTCCAGGCAGTGAAACTGTGTCTCAAAAATAAACAAGAATCAAAATAACGAAAGTGCACTGTGAACAAGTGTCCATTCAGCAAATCCTTCCAACGTTTGTGTCTCTAGGCTTGCCCCTTTTCTTGCTTTGCTTGTGAGACAGAGCCTTGCTGTGAAGTCCTGGCTGTCCTGGTACTCCATTTTCTTGTTTGTTTGGCATTAACTTTGTCACTGATAAGGGAGGACAATTCAATCAACATGGGACATTGATTCCAAGCCCTAATTCACAACCTACTACCCAGAGCTAAGTAAAACTGTCTCTTCCATGTCCTGTTAGCACTGTGTGGAATGTGCTTTTTCCCTTATCCTGTTTTCTTGCAAGGACAAAACTCCCAGATGCATAGTGGTGACTTCCTGTCCCTCAAGATCAATTGGCCACTTTCCCATGTTTACATTAGAAAAAAATTCTGAGAATTGTCATCTATATGACTACTAGAAAAATAAAAAAAAATGCAAACCACTTGAGTACTGTTCAGAAGGACCTTGTTTCTGTCCACCCCCTTACCCCATTCTGGGGACAGCACCCAGGATGTGCGCATGCTGACATACCCGCCATCACTGAGCTGGAACCCTCGCCTAAGGCCTATTCTTTTTTCTGTCAAACGGCAACCTCAATCTCTCTCTCTGTCTCTGTCTCTGAGACAGGGCCTCTATATAGCCCTAGCTGTCCTGGAACTCACTTTATAGAGCAGGCTGGCCTTGAACTCAAGAGATCCACCTGCCTCCGCCTTCTGAGTGCTGAGATTAAAGGCATGCAGCACCATACCTGGCTCTGAATCTGTCTCTTTTCCTCTTTTCTTTTCTTTAACGATAAGGTCTCATGTAGCCTCTTAGCAGTCTAAGTACTGGAATTACAGGTGTGGACTATCGCACTCATTTATATTGCTGTTGTATGTTTGGACTTTGTTTTAAGACAGGGTTTCAGCTTTCAGTGGTATCCCATGCCATCCCAACACTTGGGAGGTAGAAGCAGGCAGATCTGTGCATTTGAGGCATGCCTGGTCTACAATGTGAGCTCCAGGACAGCCAGGACTGTTATCTAGAGAAACACTGTCCAAAAAAAAGACAGGGTTTCATGTTCATAGGCTGTTCTCACCGTGGAGCCCACAATGACCCTAAACTTCTGATCCTTCTGCCTCCACCTCAGAGTGGACCACCATCCCAGGTTTATGTGATGCTGGAGCTCAAACCCAGGGCATTGTGCAACAAAGCTACAACTGAGCTTTGCTTCCAGAATCTCACTTACTGTTGGCCTCCTCCTCCTCTCTCTCCCCTTCCAATTTAAGCTTTCGGCTGAAAGGTTTCCATAATTCAGGCTGCTGTTCTAGTATCACCAGAACCAAGTTCCCTTACCCATTGGTGCACTTCATCTAGGAAGCTGATACACAACCACACATCGAAAGTTAAAGTCAATTGCATCAACACAAGAGGCACCCTCTTGACCGGGAAGCACTTTTGTAAAGTAGGCTGAATAGCTGGCTAGAAACGCCATTTCCAAATTACAACTGGAAAAACAACACCCCCCAAAACCGAGGCAAAGTGGCTGCAGCAACACACCCCGTAGAGAGCTATGATAATCCAAGTTTGAAGTCTGTACTGTCGGAATGAAATGCAAATGTCAATACTGTCTTTGGACAAAGTTCACCTCAATACCCGGTGGCCTGTGGTTCGCTGTATTACTGCCTCTTCAGAAAGACGGGATCACCCCCAAAGTTTTCCACTCAGTTCCCGGGTAACATTTAAAGTCCATTCAGCGGATATTTTCCTAGTTCTCAAAGGGTTTGACAACTGGCTTTCAGGAAAGTGGTTTGCTCTTTCCCAGATTTGGAAAGAATTGAGGAGGAAAGGGGAGAGTCCTTCACAGAGCCCCCCTTTTCCCCACTGCCTCGCACCCACGTCCCCCTAAGAGCATGGGCGCCGGCTCTCAGGACACCTCTTCAGAGGGGAACCCCACGCCACCCCAGGGCGTGAACTGACCCGCACCAAGGTCACAGGGAAATTTGCCGACGTTTTGGTTCCGAGCGAGAACCAAAGGGCAAGAGCTGACTGTGAAGCCCTGGCTTCGGGGACCGTTACAAAGGACTCTAGAGGCCCAGCCACTGCGCATTCCCCCGTGCTTGGTACAAGAAGGGCCACCGGACTGACGACCCCAAAGCGGGTATCCTAGGACCGCGGGTCCCCGGGATGCTTACCAGGCCCTGAAGGCCAAACGGACCCGGTCCTCCGGCAGACAACCTCGGCCCGGAAACCAGCGCAGGGGACACCGCGGCCGCGCTTTCATTGGTTCCACGCAGCCGGAAGTGCGCGCGTTCAGCGGAAGTGCTCCTCCGACGTGGTCCGCCCGGCCGGGGCCGACGGAGCGGGGCGGGGCGGCCCCCTGGTTCCAAACGCTGGGCTCCTGACTCAGGCCGGCGGCGGGCGGGGATCGCCAGGGCAGAAGGAGTTCGTCCGGTTCCTGGTCCAACACCGCAGCAGGTGACCCCCAGGCCGGCGGAATCTGCGGACCGGAGCTTCGAGTTCTTCCGCGAGGAGGAGATAGGCGGCCGAGGGTGCCGCTGCTCCTTAATCCCGTCCCCGGTGGTCCAGGGTCGAGCGCCGCTCACTTCCGGCCCCGAGAAGGTGTGGTTCCTGCCCCTGCCTTTTGTAATTCTGGGTTTGACAGTTTTCCCCGGGGCGTTCCCTGGGTGTTGTGGCCTCACCAGAGGAAACCTCAGAAAAAGCTACCGGCGGCACAGTCCAGGACTTAAATGACCTCTTTTACGTTTTCCTAGGAGTGGAGAGTGCGTTTCAGTTACAGGCTACTTGAGTTAGGGAAGTTATCTGGACGGCCGGAGGCCAAGTTCACACATAGCAAATAAAACTACTTAATAGTTTCCCTTGGTCTAGCCAACTCCACCCCTAGGAGGGTTGAAGTTTGAACCTCAAACTTCAAACCCTGTGAACAATTAATTAATGCTTTCCTCAAATTGATGACATCAAGGCTTCCAAAGCTGGCGGTTTGTGCAATTGGAGAAGCCCGGTAAGCATGAATGAATACCTTCCACTCCGGGTGGCAGTATTTGAGAGCCATTTCTACAGTTTTGAAGAAAATGCACCTCTTCAATACTAGGTGGTGCCAGTGAGTTAAATCTTTCTGGCCTAAATCTGTATCCTGTGGTAAAAGCTTTTTTTTTTTTTTTTTTTTCTTAAGCCTCTATATTCCCTGAAATTTATTCAGAATAACTTTGCTTCTTGAGACTGTATTGAGGCTTGGGAATGTGGTTTGGTGATGAGTGCAAATCTAGCATGCTAGTTCTTCCCATTCCCCCCTAAAGAAGATAGATTTGTCTATTAAACAGTGATAACTTATTGGGCAGGGGATTTATCTTATGGTAGAGTGTTTGCCTAGGCACAAATGAGGCCCGGGATTCAGTCTCCTGTTCTTCAGAAAAGAAAGAAAAGAAAAGGGCTAGGCATGTTGGCATATACTTGTAATCCTAGAAATAGTACAGTCTTTTCTCAGGTTTGTTTTTGTTATTTTGGTTTGGTTTGGTTTTTGGAGACAGGGTTTCTGTGCGTGGTGCTGGCTGTCCTGGAGTTTATTCTGTACACCAGGCTGGCCTCAAACTTAGAGACCTGCCTGCCTGTGCCTCCTGAGTGCTGGGATTAAAGGCGTGTGCTGCCACCCCCCCAATTGTTTTATATTTTCTTCCTTTTGAATTACATTGGCATGTCCCCTCTTTTTAAGTAACCAAATACAGTGTGCTACACGTGGGCTTATCCTTCCTAATAGTGATTCAGATGGCTTCCAGAGGAAAGACAGAGACGAGCAAATTAAAGCAGAATTTAGAAGAACAACTGGATAGGCTGATGCAGCAATTACAAGATCTGGAGGAATGCAGGTAATGGTGTAATTATATGTTGCTGCTCTGTTTCTGATGGGGAGAGTTCAAGCTCCGTAGCTGTAGACCTGTGTGTGTGTGTGTGTGTGTGTGTGTGTGTGAGAGAGAGAGAGAGAGAGAGAGAGAGAGAGAGAGAGAGAGAGAGAGAGAGAGAGAGAGAGAGAGAGAGAGAGAGAGAGAGAGAGAGAGAGAGAGAGAGAGAGAGAGAGAGAGAGAGAGAGAGAGAGAGAGAGAGAGAGAGAGAGACAGACTTTGGTTCCCTCCATAGTATTTCGCAGAATTTTGCCTGCTGGAGAAGTAAACTTCTCAGACTTGGGAGTCATAAACCTTGGGATGTGGAAGGCTTAAAATATGTAAGCTCCTGGAAAATAACAAAGTTAACTCTGTCTTTAGTATTTAAAACATCTCTGCCTAGAATGAATCCCTGGCTAATTGCTCAGAATACTATGATTGGGCCGAGGGCATGGCTCTGTGGACGGGTGGGTGCCTACTATGCTAGAAGCCCTGAGCTCAATCCCCAGCATCAAAGAAGAGGGGAAGGGAGGGAGGTTTACATGCTCTTGTAATCCCAGGAGGTGGATGCAGGAGAATCCGAAGCTCAAGGTCCTTCTTGACTACGTGGTGAGTTCCAGGCCAGCCTGACTATATGAGACCCAATTCAATAAAGCAGAAGAAAACAAACAAACTATTAATTGTTTTAATAGCCTCACAAGTATGTTGTAAATATGAAAATGAAAGAGACACAATACAGTGTTACAGTGTTTCGCCATTTATGGCAGGGGAGCTGTTGTTAACTTGTAGTAAATATTTAATAAACAGCTTGTTTGGTGAATAAAAATAGCCTTTTATTCAGATGACAGGTGCGCTGCTCTGCTTGTCCCCAGGGGGCACAAGGTGCTTCCTGCTGCTGAGGAGACTGATGCTAACAGCATCTATTTAATGTTACTGTAGGGCCCCTAAGAAAAGGCACTATAGTTATCTGAAGTTTTGCTGACAGATTGAGGTTTGGCTCTGTTCATGCCTTGCCTGAGGTTATATAACTGATCTCTCAAAGAGAAGTTACTGTGTGCCTGAAGTGTGCCTCATAGCAGGAGAAATTACTTGGGGCAAGGGGAAAGAAATGCCGTGCTCCCGGCCCTGGGTTTAGCCACATGGAAAGACAATGAAGACGCCAGTAGCCAAGCTCTGCAGACATGTGTGCCACTACAGCTGCTGTCCCCTTCGGCCTTGCTCTAGACCAGGTACTGAGAGTTCCATGCTTAGCCTTTTTGTGTGTTTCTCCGCACTGTGATGTGACCTGTGCTACAGAGAGGAGCTTGACACTGATGAATATGAAGAAACCAAGAAGGAAACTTTGGAGCAGCTGAGCGAGTTCCACGACTCCCTGAAGAAAATCATGTCGGGAAATATGACTTTGGTGGATGAACTCAGTGGCATGCAGCTGGTAAGAGGGATTTACTGATTGATTCTTTTATGCATGGTTTGCTTCTGGTTTGTGAGTGTAATTCAGACAGAAAACGGACACGTTGAAGGCTGAGGATGTAGCTCTGCGGTAGTGTACTTATGTAGCATGTACAAGACCCTAGATTATATCCTAACACCTCAAAAAGTAAATACTTGAATGAAAGAAAGAAAAGGTACTGTGTTTATGAGATAGCTTCTTGATGTTGTGTTCATATGGCTCCAGTATCACGTTCAGAAATGGCAAATGAAAACCGATTTCAAGCACGAAAACCTATGAGTTAGGACTCATTGGTCTAATATTGCAGATGTAATTGTGTGGAATATTTTGGTTAGTTTTTGCATTTCTCTGTTTCTAGGCTATTCAGGCAGCTATCAGCCAGGCCTTTAAAACCCCTGAAGTCATCAGATTGTTTGCAAAGAAACAACCAGGTCAACTTCGGACAAGGTTAGCAGAGGTAAAGTTTCTTCACGCTGATCCAGTTACTGTGGTTTTCTTCCTAGGCTGTGACTGTATTTATTATACTAGCCTAAATTATACTGTTTAAAATTTGCTCAGTCACCCTGTCATTGGTGGCACACACCTTTAATCCCATCACTGGGGAGGCAGAGGCAGGCGGATCTCTGTGAGTTCGAGGCCATCCTGGTCTCCAGAGAGAGTGCTAGGATAGGCTCCAAAGCTACACAGAGAAACCCTGTCTCGAAAAACAAAACAAAATTTGCTCAGTTGGTGTTAGAGCCACAGCTCTCAATTTTCTGACAGCTTGTACCTTGGGCAATTATAATTAATAATAAGTGAATTCTTGAGCAGTATGTGGCCATTTAAATCACCTCCAACCACTTCTACTTGGCTCCTACCTTTAATATTTTGCCCTTTACATCTGGGGCCCTTTTTTGAGATCCTATTTGGAATTTAGCGTCAGCATTGCTTCTGTGTATGCACACTTAATCTTTTTTTTTTTTTTTTCAGATTTGTCTGTTGTTTTAAATGATGAGTGTGTACTTAAGTGCATGTGTGCCCACAGAGGCATCAAATGCCCTGGAGCTGAAGTCACAGGTGGTTGTGAGCTGCCCAGTGTGGGTGCTGGGAATTTAACTTGAATCCTCTGAAAGAACAGTACACAGTTCTTAGCCACTGAGCTGTTCCCCTGCTTGTTAAGCATCTTTTTCTTTTTCTTTTTTTGGTATTTTGAGACAGGGTTTCTCTGTGGCTTTGGAGGCTGTCCTGGAACTCACTCTGTAGAACAGGTTGGTCTCGAACTCACAGAGATCACCTGCCTCTGCCTCCTGAGTGCTGGGAATAAAGGCGTGTGCCACCAAGGCCCGGCTTAGCATCTTTTTTGTTTTGTTTCTTGTTTTTCTAGACAGGATTTCTCTATGTAGTCCTGGCTATAGGCCAGGTTGTCCTGGAACTCACAGAGATCCCCCTGCCTCTGCCTTCTGAGTGGTGGGATTAAAGGCTTCACCACCACTGCCTATTCTTTTCTTCCTTTCTTCTTCTTTTTCCCCTCTCTTTTTTGATTTGCTGTCAGGCATCTTTATAAACTTGTTACTTCAGAGATCTGTCTATGGACTTGGATATAATTATGAGCTAACAGGTAATATCTGTCTACAAGCAATTCGGTGGAATGGTAAGAGAATAATAACTTTAGGGAATACGGAGATGTCTCAGGTGGTAAAGTGCCAGGTGAGCAGCACACATCTGTGGTCCTAGCACTGGGGACACAGAGACCACACAGTCCCTGGGGCCTTTGCCAGTGAGAGACCCTAACACTGACCTCTGGCCTCACCCAAACACACTTGAATACACACAGGAGCACGTACAGACATGTGAGGGGAAATCACAGATTAAGGTGAGATCGGTTACGGAGCTGGAGCACTGACTGCTCTTCCAGAGGACCAGGGTTCAATCCCAGCATCCATGTGACAGTTCACAGTCCTCAGTAACGCTAGTCCAGGGTACTCAACACCCTCACACAGACACACGTGCAGGCAAAACACCAATGCACAAAAAATAAGAATAAATAAATTATAAAAAGAAAAAAGATGAGATAAATTGGATTTGAGTTCCTGCTGTACATACAGGGTGGGGCACATGACCTTTGGCAAGTTGTTATATTCACCCCTGTACCTTGTACCTTGGTTTTCTTATCTGTAAGAAGGTGATTGTGACCGTTTCTACTTGTGGTTGTCATGTGAGTTTGATCACACTTGGAAGCTGGCTGCAGTCCCAGCTCCTTGGGAGCCAGAGGAAGGAAGATCATTTGAGGCCAGCCTGGACAACATAAGAGACCCTGTCTCAAAAAATAAATAATAAGGGGCTGGAGAGGTGGCTCAGAGGTTAAGAGCACCGACTGCTCTTCCAGAGGTCCTGAGTTCAATTCCCAGCACCCACACCATGGCTCACAACCATCAGCTATGAGATCTGGTGCCCATCTTCTGGTGTGCAGATATACATGGAAGCAGAATGTTTTCTACATAATAAATAAATAAAATCTTTAAAAAAAAAAAAAAGAAAAAGAAAACCTGAAGACCTGAGTTCAATCCCTAGAACCCACGTAAACGTAGAATAAGAGAACCGATTCTGTGTCCTCTGACCTCTGTGTGCATGCTGTGGCATGCCTGCTCACATGCATACAATACACACATTAACACTTAAAATTTAAAAAGAAAAGGTAAAGAAAACAATTCTGTCTCCACAAAAGTAAAAGTTTTTAGAAAACAGTTTTTTGTCCAGTGGAAGCTGTGTCCTCAGAGTTTACAACTTAACAGCTGTTTATGCTGTGGATTCAGGTTGAGGGGCCAGCAGGATGGCTCAGTTCGTGCGGGGTCCCTGGAGCCCATGACAAGGGGAAAGCGGGGAACAGACACCACAGAGTTGTCTTCTGAGCGTCACATGTGCACCATGGAAAGCACACACCCCAACACACATGTACACACAAATGCACATACATTCAAAATAATAATAATAGTTTAAAAATTTATCAAAACTGGTCTGAGGTGGTGGCCCATGCTTGTAGCCTTAGCATTCAGAGTTAACCCCATATTTTGAAGTCAGTCTGAACTACATTGAGAGTTTGTTTCGAAAAACAAAAATGGAGTGTACAAACTGTAGCAGGCCAGCAAGATGGATCAACGCTTTTGAGTTTGATTTCCATCCCCAGAGCCACATGGCAGAAGGAGAGAACCAACTGCCACAACTGGCCCTCTGACCTCACACAAATGCCCAGGCATGCACATGCCTGTACACACATAAGCAAGCACACGCACACGCGCACACACACACACACACACACACACACGCATGCACACGCACACACATGCACACACACATAAACATGAAGGCAAGTTTTTTTTTTTTAATTTCAAAAACTTTCCTGGTGGCACTTGTATATGATGTTTCAGGTTATTTGTATAGTTTTTTAGATATTAACCAAATAGTTTTGTTTTAAGAAGTCAGACTGAAAAGCTGGGCTTCCTACACAGAATGGCTTTTGCTCATGTGCACATGCCTTGCGTTGTCCTTTGCAGATGGACAGAGATCTGATGGTGGGGAAGCTGGAAAGAGACCTGTACACGCAGCAGAAGGTGGAGATCCTCACTGCTCTCAGGAAGCTCGGAGAGAAGGTCCTGACACTTGCTGTGCTAAGCTGGTAGAGCATTCGTTGCGGAGCGTGCTGCCCTTGATGTAGTCTGGAGTCCTAAGAAATCAAAACACTGTTTTTAGGTTTATTTTATGTGTGTGAATGTTTTGTCTGCTTGTATGTATGTGTACTATGTACATGGATGCCTGGTGCCCACGGATGTCAGAAGACAGTATTGGGTCCTCTGGAACTGGAGTTTTAGATGGTTGTGAGCTACCATGTGCTTTTAACTGCTGAGCCTTGTCTGTCCCCTAAGACTTCCTCGCTGTGGCTCTAGGACTTGTTGTAACCCTGCACTCACTCTGTGTGCTTTGTCTCACCTTGTAGCTGAGGGAAGATGATGAGGCCTTCCTGTTAGCCAACGCAGGCGCTGCACTCAGCCAGTTTGAGAAAGTCTCCACAGACCTTGGTGAGTGCCTTTCCCTCCCCTCCCCTTAGCTCCTCTTGCTTAATTTCACTCCTTCTCTTCTGTCTGTCTTTCTTTTTTTCTGAGTAAACATAGATTATTAAGGAAAAGTAAAAGAACTCCCAAGAGTTAAAGGGTGTCTAAGGGACAAATACCTTTTTTTTTTTTTTTTTTTGGTGATGTGATCAAACCCAGGCTCCCGTGCATTTGTTCTTGAAAACGGGACTTTTGCTCCAGCTCTTGGCTGACAGAGAACACGCTTGAGACAACTCAACCTCTCCTTGAGTTTAAAGTGACAGAATTATTTTTATGTTGTTGTGTGTGTGTGTGTGTGTGTGTGTGTGTGTGTGTGTGTGTGTGTGTGTGTGTGTGTGTATGCATATAGGTGCAGGTCCCCAGAGAGGCCAGATGAAAGCACTGGATCCCCTGGAACTTGAGTTAGCAGGCGGTGGTGAGCTACCATGTGGGCGCTGGGGACCTAATCTGGATCCTCTGGAAGAGCAGCCAGTGCTCTTAACCATTGCATCATCGCTCCTGCCCAGAGCTATTTTCTTCATAAATCCTTTAGATGGGTTTTATTTTAATTCTAAAAAGAGATTTCTTTTTTATCTCTGTGTGTGTGGTGTGTATATATACACACACGTGTGTACAGATACCCACAGAATGGAGCCTTAGATCCCTGGGACCTGGAGTTAAAGATGCTTGTGAGCCTTCTGCTGTGGGTGCTGGGATCTGGTCCACACTATTCATTCTTAATCCCTGGCCTGGCTTTCTAGCCTCCCACTCTTCTCCCTTTCCCATGCAGGCTCTCACCAGGGACTTGAACTCAGCCTCTCTCTGCCTTGACCTTCCAAGTACCGGAACCATGGGCGTGTACCAGACACTTAGCTCCAGTACTCTAAATGAAAAATAGAGTAAGACAGACGAATTTTCAGAACATTACATGCCATGGGGCTGGGAAGAGGGTTCAGAGCACTGGCTGCTCTTCCAGATGGCCTGGCTTCAGTGCCAGCAGCCACACAGCAGCTCACTACCAGTTCCAGGGGAACTGATGGCCTCTTCCGGCCTGTAGGCACCAGGCATGCACGTGGCGCACATCCGTGTGTGGAGACAAAACACCCACCCACAGAAACAGATGTTTAAAAATTACGTGCTTTTAGATTTTTTTCTCTTAAGCCAGGTGGTGATGGTGGTGGTACACACTTTTAATCCCAGCATTCAGGAGGCAGAGAAAGGCAGATCTCTATGAGTTCAAGACCAGCCTGGTATACAGAGAGAATTCCAGGACAGCCAGGGCTACACAAAGAAATCCTGTCTCTGGGAGGAAAAATTTATTTGGATGCGCGCGTGCGTGCGTGCGTGCGTGCGTGCGTGTGTGTGCACTCACCTGTGCTCAGATGCACATGCCACAATGCAGGTGTGCAGGTCACACAACAGCTTGCAGGAATTGTGGTTCCTAGGATTAAACCTCGGCTGTCAAGCACGAGGGCAGGTGCCTTTACTACTGAACCATCTGACCCTCTTACCTTTTTGTTTTGTTTTCTTTCTTTGTTTTTCTGAGACAGGGTTTCTCTGTAGACCAGGCTGGCCTGGAACTCACAGAGATCCTCCTGCCTCTGCCTCTGTTGTTGTTAAAACATATTTATTAGCCGGGTGGTGGTCGAGCACTCCTTTAATCCCAGCAGTTGGGAGGCAAAGACAGGTAGATCTCTGTGAGTTCAAGGCCAGCCTAGTTTACAGAGCGAGCTCCAGAACAGGCTCCAAAGCTAAGGAGAAACCCGGTCTCAAAAAACCAAAATAAATAAATAAATAAATAAATGAATAAATAATACAAAGAAAGAAATTAAAAAATTATTTATTTTAAAAATGTACGTGTATGAGTATTTTTGCTTATATGTATATGGTATCTTAGGAATCCATAAGAGGCTTTGGGTCCCCTACAACAGGAGTTACAGTTGTGAACTGATGTGTGCCCTGGGAACCAGACTTGTGTAGTCTAGCAAAGACTCTTAACCGCTGAGCTAGATCCTCAGCCCCAGTACCCTCAGCTTTCCTGCCGATTGTGTTAAAATACCTTTCAGTAACATGTTACTGTATAGCTTTTTTTTTTTTTTTTTTTTTTTGGTTTTTTGGAGCCAGGGTTTCTCTGTGTAGCTTTGGAGCCTATCCTGGCACACGCTCTGGAGACCAGGCTGCCCTCGAACTCACAGAGATCCGCCTGCCTCTCCCAGCCTTTTAACATGTTACTGTAAAAGTAAGTTAGGATTTTACATATTTGCCTTCAAACCTAGAGACGAGTTAGGATCCTCACCAGTAAGCCATTCTTCTAGCTGGATTGTTTGTGCAGAGGGAAGGGGATCCAGATGGCAGCCAGCCGTGGAGGGAGGGGTTAATGCATCCGATTTCTGTTCTGTATCTATATGGTGTGTCCCCTCATTCCCTGGGACTGTAAATACTTCGAACTAACCTTTTCATTTTGTGTCTTTTTCTTAGGCTCTGGAGATAAGGTCCTTGCTCTGGCAGGGTTTGAGGTTGAAAAAGCCAAGAAATGACATTGCAGCAGTTTGGCTCCATAAGCCCCATCCTAACTGCACATGGTGCTTTCATCCTGAGGACTTGGAGGCAAAGAAATAGAGAGTCTCAAAATGCCCAAGAGCAGGTGACATGACCATGGTGTGGCTTCTGCTTAGGTCCTTCATCCTGGAAGGTCCTCGTCCTTATCTGTGTCGGGATCCCTTAAATGACCCTGGGCTTGTGGGGACAGGGGACCTGCTGGACTCATTCTTATGGGTTGTTTTCTAAGATGCCTTGTGTCTTAGTGCTGACAGGATTGAGAGCTGTCAGCTAGTGACTGTCTGATTCTTGTCTGCACGCTTTGGGTGACCGGTACGGTGATGTCACTAGCCTTCCTGTGTCTGTAGAATCTTAGAAACCTTTTCATTTTCACACAAGGAAACTGAGATGTAGAAAGAGCATGTGATCTGCCTAAAGTCACACTGGGAACAGAGCTGTGGCTGTGGCTCAGGTGTCCTGACTCCTGGTTTTATTTCCTTATTCTGTACTGTTGTTTGTTTGTAATTTTTAAAAAATAATTAACTTGTATTTATGCAAGTTGGCATCTATGAAAATCCAGTGTCCTAACTGAGAGTTGAATGGACACTAAGGGGCTGTTCCCAGCCTGTGAGTGGGCAGCATGAATGGGGCCCATTGTGTCTCTGGGTTTCTAACAAGCAACAATGGGAGGCCCTGTTGAGAGCCTCCTGAAGTAACTTAACCTCCTCCCTTGTCTCAGTGGGGAAGCCATAGGAAACGGTGGCCCCAGGCCCTCTCGGTGTGACCGCTTGCCAACTCTGAGGGTGGCAACAGTAAGTTACTATAAACTGTGCAGTTCGGGGTGAGACACAAACTAAGTTAGGAAGAAAGCAAGTTTCTCCCAGAGAGCGGTGACTCTTCGTGGGCAGACACACAATCATGTCCTCACACGACCCCCCCCAGCCTTCCTTTCTGTG